CCTTGACCAGCAGTTAACCATCTTAATAATTCATCAAACGTCCAAGAAAATTGCTCAAAACAACATTCCATTGATATGTTGTTGATCCATGTCGAAATCAACAACTAATCTTGGTGAAACAATACTAATTGGCTAAGTTAAGAATCAACAATAACTTGATAGTTAATAGGCATATAATATTGGACCCATCAAAGCAAGTTATGATCAAAATTAGCATTGGCTTGGATGAACATCCATTATATTGGGCTCATCGATGGAATCAAAGTTGAAACTTAAGGAATGTTCCACAAACTCTAATACTCCCGCATCAATTATGAAGTTATTTTTTTATTCAAATTCAGTAACCGTCATATGTAACCATCGTCTATAGACAATTCTAAATAGCCGAAATGTGTTCATTATAAAAGAATCCCAAATCAATAAAGGAACTCAACATTCTCACAAATATTCACTTTCCTGCAAATTACATGATTGACCGCGATTGCATCCAGTCATCATACTTTCAAATTTTTTATCAATTACTTTCATGTCCAAAATCAACGAAAGACCCTTCACAACATTTGTCGATTCGTATCGATCCATCCATATTTCTGAAAGATATTTCGTCGACATTTTGAAGAAACAAGTATCTAAACTTTTTTTTTTTATAATTTCAATCAAGTATCTAAACTTTTTAAATTAGGCTGAATATGATTTCGTAGACATGGCTCACTTGTGCAACAAAAACAAAAACATCTCTACATTTAGTTGCTGGGTGACGAGTAGAGTGTGTGCACGGGCGCGTCGACATGGACAATCTTAGCATTTTAATATGTCTTTACTGACTCAACATCATCCTAAGTGACCCTATCGGACACCAATGTGGACAATCAATGGTTATTCGACGGCATTAGCATCCATGCTTGCATTTTTCGACTGCAGTTCTGTTTCGTCGGAAATATACTCGAGACGAATTATAATTCACTGAAAGTCGTTCTTCGGCTCTTAATGAAAGGAAACTGGGTTCTAGATCCAATTCCGGACAGGAGCAATCCAGGCGTGAATAAAGAACTTGATCTTTACGGAATATTCAGACGAAACCATCCAATTACTGGCGGCGTCCAAAGTTCATGAGGACCTAAACAACTACGGCTATGGAAACTGAAAGTGCGAAGCTGGAAAGTAAGGACTACAGCTATGGAAACTGAAAGTGCGGAACTAGAAAGTAAGGATAAAAGACAACATTTGTTTTTGTTCATGTGTGCGGGGGTCCTCTGTTGATAATCAGACGCTATTTATAACACAGACTTGGTAACCGTTCTTGGTGTTGTATCCGATATCTATCGTTGATTTCATCTTCACCGTTCATTTAATGACACATGTTTATCAACTGTTATCGATTTTTATCTTTTGTATGAAGTGATAACCGCTCTTCCCTGTGCTGACATCTGTCCTTAGTATGATAACTGTCACCGAACCCCTTTCATCTTTTGAAATGATAACCGTCATCGAGCCCATTTGTTCTCGACAACCGTCTTCGAGCCCATTTGTTCTCTAGAACGACAACCGTCATCGAGCCCACTAGTTCTCTAAGGCGACAACCGTCATCGAACTTTTCTTTATTTGTCACACGTCCTTTGGTATGGTAACCGTTATCGAACTTTTCTCCGTTTGACACTTGTCCTTCGGGACGATAACCATTATCGAGCTTTTCTCTATTTGACACCTATCTCTCGGGATGATAACCGTCATCGAGCCTTTTCTCCGTTTAACACCTATCTCTCGGGATGATAACTGTCATTGAGCTTTTTCTCCGTTTGACACCTGTCTCTCGGGATGATAACCGTCATCGAGTTTTTTCTCCGTTTGACACCTGTCCTCTAGAATAGCAACCATCATTGAGCTTTTCTACATCTGACACCTGTCCTCTGGAAATAGGGACCTTCGTCGAGCTTTTCTGGCTTGACACCCATCATCCTTTTCATCGATATCTTTGATGAAAAAATACCTTTGGCACTTTAGTCCAGTTTTTTCCTGATTTGACACCTACTTTTCTGGAGCGAAGGCCTTCATCGAATTCTTCCTAGCTTGACATTCGTTCTTCTCCTTGTCGACGTTTTCGATGAAAATACCTTCAACACTTTTGATCCCCATTCATCTGAATTTTAAATCTCCCGCTCATGACTGCCAGTACATACCAGCTGTCTTACATGAATCATCTTAGTATAGGTGACGTCATCTCTTGTCGTTTTAGTAATCTATCCTAAGCGTCGACAACCCTTATTAATTTCAGGTGTCAACAAGTTCTAACGGAAAGCTTCGGATCGACTCACATTTGAAAAGTCGAGGTGCATCACTAAACAAAAAACAAAAAATAAAAATTAGGTGCTCGATCGTAAAACGAGTAACGGTTCGGGTACTTGTCAATGCCACGAGTGATGCATTGAATTCTTGATTCAAAAGAGGAGTGCGGACTCGGGAATGGATTTGGATTTGGCTTATAATTCCTGGTCGTCGTGGACCACACGAATTAAGAACCCAATTTGCAAGGGACCCACGAAGAAGAATTTCATCAGCAAGAAAAAGTAATAATAATAATAAACGAATTTTTTTTATTCATTTAATTACGGTCCATTCGTCATTAATAAGCCTCAAGCCCGTACAAGACGCCGGCGTGCTTCTCCGGACCGTCCCGCACGAAGTACACGTCCCACATCTTCCGGAACGCGTGCCACGTCAGCAGGCTGTCGGAGCCGGCCTGGTGGCACTTCCCGACCGCCCGGTCCACCTCCAGCGCCCTGGCGACCCGGTCGAGCCCCCCGTAGAGGCTGTTGCAGAAGCGGGTCATGTGCTTCACGTCGTACACCCGGCTCCCGAAGAAGGCCCGGAGGACGCCCAGGAACTCGCCGAGCCGGTCCGGCAGGCCCCGCCGGGTCAGGATCTTGACCAGGTACCCGAAGTCGTAGGCGCTGTGGAACGTGACCCAGCTCACCGACTCGTTGCACAGCAGGCCGGACGACATCATCAGCTCCGCGAACCGGGCCGAGTCGACCCCCTCCTCCCGGTTCCGCTCGAAGTCGATCCCCTGGCGGCGGAGGAGCTCGATCGAGTCCGGGGCGTGGGCGTCGCGGGCCACGTCGAAGTCCCGGAAGTTGAACTCCCAGATGTAGCGGCGGGCGCCGGAGGAGCCGAGGTCCGGGAGGTTGCCCTCGGAGTCGGAGAAGGTGAGGCCGACCTGGATGAGGCTGAGGGCGTCGACGTTGGACTTGAGGAGGCGGTAGTGGTCGGAGGGGCGGAGGCGGCGGTAACCCCCTCCGCCGCCGCCGCCGCCGCAGCCGTGGGGGGAGGGCGGCGGTGGGCGGAAGACGACGCCGGGGAACTCGGTGTCCATGGCGATGAAGGGGTGGGTGTCGATGACGTCGCGGATGAGGTCGAACTCGGAGTCGAGGTTGTGGGCCCAGACCTCGCGGATCACGACGGGTCCGGAGGACGGGTCGACCTTGGGTCTCGGGAACATCGTGAAGATCGGAGAGCAGATGATTTCGATTGATCGGAGCGAAGGAGAAGAAGAAGACGGCGAAGTCCTCTGCAGTTTTCTTTTTTTTTTTTTTTTTTTGGGGGTTTTTCCTTTTCTGCTTTTTTTTGGGTTCTGGAGTGGAGGCGAGGAGGTGGGTTTTATAGGGAAAGAGGGGGAGAGGGGAGACAGTGTGTGGAACGAGTGTCCGAAAGAGAGAGGGAAGAGGCGAGAGACGGGTCAAGTCAAAGTTGGACGCGTTCTGCTTTTTGACTCTGAGAGAGAAGAGTGAGCGATTTGGAGTTGGAGTAGTGCATGAAGGCAAAAGCAAAGACTCGGTCTGCCTAATCTTTCTCACAAACTTCATGAATCGTGGAGGCCCCACCCACCTACCCTGTCAATTCACACGCGATTTAAGAAGGGGGCATCATGTGTTTGTTTTTTCTCATGATTTTTGTGCTTCGAGAGGCGAATCTCGGCAAAGCTTCGCTCCTTCTGCGGTGACCGGAGCCTCTCGTTTTTTACATGGAAAAAAACCAATCTGGAATTTGTGCTTCGCGCTCTTCGTTTTTGGAATGTGCATGTGACTCTTCTTAATTGGAAAGGGGGGCTGCGCCAGAATTACAAGGGCAATTTCCCTTTTTGGTACGTCGAAATACAAATCGTACGGACTATATTTGTTACTCTTTAAAGAGGGTGCAGGATTCTGTAGTTAATGATGGTGGAGATTCAATGAAGCCAGTGTTTCGCCCATGTGTTAAAGCGGCAATCTATCCCGACATGGCAAGTCGAGATATGCTATACCCACAATAAGAACAGCTCTTTATTAGGAAAAGAATCCTGTTCAAGCGACAGCCTATTCTTGTGCGTGAAGAGAAGAAATATGCTTATCGCCAGCTTAGCCCGGCCAAGATGTGGACAAGGAGCTTTTAATGATTGATTTTCACGGCAAGTGACCATCCTTTGTCCGCAGGAGACACAGAAATCGATGGGGCAAAAAGATTATGACGCGAGGATTATACCTCAGATAGGATTCATACCCGCAAGTGGGAATTCTAATTTTCTACCAAACGAGAATCGCGACGAGGACGAGGACGTACGAATGCGAAACGAATTCCGGGATCTCGTTCAGGGGGGGGAACCGAAGACAAGAATTCGGAAGGAAGGAATGCAGGAAGGAGGAATCTCCACAGGAAACTTCGTCGGTATCGAGCGCAGCCGCCTATTGAAGCACGTCAATGTCGTGTCGCTGTGGATGGATTAATATATGGGTCTATGATTAACTTATGGAAGCTCGCTCGAAGAAGGTTGGCTGGTCAACCGAGCGATGATCCTCGTGCTAAAGTACGGGACTTTCATTATTTTATTTTTTTTGGTCGGAAGGACTTTAATTCTTTTACTATTATGATACGAGCCAATTTCATTCTTTCATTTGGACACGGGTCTCGTGTGCCTCATTTGACTTGGAATGGGTCGGTCGTCGCGCTAATCTAAAGGAGCAGCGTCATGACAAGGAAGAAACACACATTGACCAGCCACAGTACACGTTCTCTATACATCTCAGAACACGACTCTTTGATTCCTCAAACCCTGCCACAAATCAACTGGTTTAGGACGAGAACTCGCAGGGGCTCTTATCTAGGCTAATTTGCATATCATCATCGCTCCCAACAGAGCTCCTGTTATCACGAAACGGATTCTCCGAAGGGATGACCCTCAGTCGTCCGCAAAGTTTTTCTTGGGTCGGACAGTAGTCCAAAAGTTAACATGCTGCATTTTAACCCTAAGATGCAGCGTGTTAACTTATGGATTTGAGAGCAGCGTGAGCTCATCAAGGTCGGAAACACTTGATGGTTCGAGACTGGAGTAGATGTCAGTCATAGCAAGCCATAGTAAGAGACTCGCTCTCGACATATCCAGGAGGAGGCAAACTGCAAGCAAGGCAAGGCTTTCACTGCAAAACATTGTGACCGCCTGTCACAGGTATAGAGGTTGCTTGAGTGAGGGGATGGCACACCATCGGAGTTTTACCATCAATGGCATTAGCGGCCGATGGACTGCTCTCCATGGTTTCCTCGAGAAGGCGTACTAGTGACATAAATATCTCCACCCTCGTAACATCCCTGTCAGCCTGTATAAAATTGAAAACAAATGTCACTATATCTAGCATAATTTCCCTCACGCGCACGGGGACACAGGAGCCTGCGCACTTGAGCATGTGCCTGACACAGAGGAGACCCCACTGCTTGAAACCGAAGTATAGAAGAATGGTTGGTTTGATTTTTGTTCTTTCTTTGCTATGTTTCATTTGATTTTCAAGATCTGCCAAGGGGATGTTAATCCAACCTGTTGTTTTTTCTTTGGCCCAATATTAATACAAGTACTCAAGAGCCACAAGAACACCATCTGAAATACTCAAGTATGAGCTAGCGACTATCTTAAAAATCAAAATTCCAGGCTCAATCTATTGCCAATGAAAAAGATGCAAAGATCTCTCAGATGCTTACCTCTACAGCGAAACGAGTCCAGATCCTTTCATTGCGAGTTTCCATCACACCCTTCAAGATGGTCAATCCTAATCCTCTTATCATATCAGCTATTTCTAAAAAGAAACCTCGCTCCTCACAAAGCATCTGTGACAAGAAATACAGATTCAATAAAGATGGATGGACTATCCAAGATTGAGCTTAATGTGCATGACATGACATCTACCTCCACAATCATTTGACGGGGTGGATTCAGGTCCTCGACTATGATGGGGTGGACCATTGACTGTGAACCAATTTCGTACGCCCAAGTCGCTCCTCGCTCAAAATTGTCTTTCAAGAGAAATCTACCTTCCTCATTGATGATCTAAAAGATAAGAGAAGAACCAAAGTCACTTTCACAATTCTATTGTGTGAGATATCGAATGCCACCTGATAAAACTAGCAACAGAAGACTTAATCTTGCTCAGAATTTTAGCGTTTCTTGTTCGTGTAACTCCAATCATAAGCATGGCAACACAAGCTTTTACTGAGTGAACTTCAGCTAAACTTTGTTCTTTAGAAATGTATATGGATGATCTTGCGAGCATAAGTATTAGAGAGAGAGAGAGAGAGAGAGAGTTAATACTTTGGATCCCCCAATCTGTTTTAGCTTGTCGGCATGCTTTGAAACACTTTGCAAGAACAACATATGCTTGATAGTTCGTTCTAACAGCGCATCAATGCTACACTGTTGAATGCAAGAGGGAAAAGAAAAACAAGTCATCAATATTTGGTTATTAGCAAAGATGGCAAATGAGATGATAGAACAAAGGAAATTACTTTTGCTCCATTCGGCACAATTTCACGCAGCTCTTTCACCCGATCTTGGATCATCTGCCGGTCTTTTGGCCTTGGTCTTGGATTTTCGCCAGGTTTTAGCCTCTTCCTATTTGATTTGATCATCCCATCCTGCCTTTTGGAATACCCAGTTGAAACATTATTATCGTGTTTTATACTGTGACCTTGGTCAACCCAAGAACTAATATGTGATCCATAAAAGGAGTTACTCAAGGAGCACGTCCCCGCTCCGTTCTTGCTACAGCCAGACATTAAAGAACCAGAATCAGACACTCCAGCTTTTACAAGGGACTTCTGAATGCCACGGGAGTCCTTGTGCTCTTTATTTAGCATATTGAAATTGTTATTCAAGAAAGAACTACTGGGAACAGAAGAGCTACTGATTCTTGTCGCTGATGTCTTACAGGAAACATTGTCATCAGAGCTCGGCTTTGAAGTAGGGCGAGTCCCAGAAACAACAGCATCTAAAAGATTATCAACGGCTGTCATGGAGAAGATCCCACTTTCTGAGACACCTTCACTAAGTGAACCTAAATCTGTCTCTGCTTCCGGCATGTTCACAACAGATGAAGCTTCTGCACCTGACTTATGTGCATCAAAATAGGGCCCATCAGTCAGCAAACTTTCTAAGTTACCATCAATAATATCAATTGTCATGTCTGCTCCCAAAATATCAAAAAGATCATTCCTTACTAATTGTTGGACAGACGCATTTTCATACGTGTTACATGTGGAAATCACCTTTTTACTTGCACCCTCAAGCTTCTCGGAAGCATGAGCCCACTCAGGCTTCTGCTCAATCAAAGATATATTTGAATAGTTTGGTGGCATGACTAGTTGGGAAAAATCATCAACCATCCTCTGTTTCTTAGAAGGCAATTCAGTCTGAGCATGCTTCGTGCTCATTAGATGATTTCTCTGATCAGAGGCTCCAGAAAGCAATTGTTCTGACAAATTAAATAGTGGAATGCCCTCTAATTTAGTGAAATCACCATCGTGAAATGATGCATTTCCAACCAGATTCGTAGAGACAGATTCAGAAAGAGAGCACGAAACAGATATTGATCTAGGAGGATGAGTTACTTCATGCAGCAGCTTAGCATTTTGAAGTAACTGAGTGGCATCAGAGGTTTTGCACGGGTCAACGATTGAACATCCATTTCTTCCAGGTTGAGCGGTGACAGTGCTATTTAAAAAACTGGTCCATTTATTATCAGGTTTCTCAGGCACAACACCTGCTGATATCTTCTTTTTGATAGGCTCAAAGATGCTGCATGTACCATTTGTTGGACCAAGAGCAGTTTGACCTCTATTTTCATTCCCCAAATTGCATGCAACAGCATGCTGGTTCAGCCACACATCAAGATTCGCAGGAATAACTTCAGCTCTGACTAGCCTCGAATCTACTTCGCCACTGGGAGAAAGGCTGGTCTTCATGAGCGATGCACGACTAGGTTTGGAGGGGTGACTATAGAATTCAGCTAGAGATGGGGCTTTTTCAAGTGTAAGTGATGTAGATGCAGCAGTCTTCAGATTATCCACTGTGTTAGTAATTAGTGGGGAAGATCGTCCAACAAGCCCTGAAGTGCGAGAAGAGTTGCTCGTATCTTTGCAGCTGCTAGTCATCACAGATTCCGAGCCAATCACTTGACAATTTCCAGGAGGAAAGCAAGTGATGGTTCCAGGATAGCCTAACATCCCAGCTTTTCCAGCAGAACTCGTAGAAAATAGAGCACCAGGGATGCAGGCCACTTGCAGGATCAAGCTCTTTACATCATTTACAAACCCCATGTGCTCCATGATCTGCAGCAGCAGGGACAAGAAGTTACATCAATACATTACAAAATACAGTACTTTAGCTGTAAGACAAACAAAAGATGCTCAAGCTGATGCTTTGCATATCCAATAAAACCTAAGCTGATCATAATGCATATTTGTTAAGATTTTTTCATTAGAATCTAACTAATGCTATAAAGCACAATGAATTATGATGCAAACTGCATGCGAAGCAACACCAATATAGAACTCTTCTCGCCGAATGTGCTCTCTATGGTCACATGGCTGGGATTTTTAGTGAACACATGCAAGATCCCACCAAGAAAGGTATATCCATTTCTCAACGTGAGTGCATTCAGGAATCCATACTAAAACTACAAGTTCCCAACGCAAAATTAGCCAGAGAATAAAAGTGAGACAGAGGATGGACATGGTTTGAAGCGCTTGCACATCAAAATCTTTCAAATGAAGTGGTTGAAATACGCTTTGACTAAGAAAGGAAAAGTACTAGCAAAACACACTTGCATCATACGTATTATCATGTAAGTCCAACTTTAACTGGCAAAGAGACTAACTTTAACTATACTTCTGACATTCCACCAAGATTAGATAATCTGAAAAGGAATCACTTACAGCTACCGAAGAGCCAAGTTGCACAACACCATGAAAAGGAACAGGAATAACTGCAACTGTCTGCAAAAACCGTGGGATCAATCACATGAAACAAGAGCATCAGATACAAATGAAGGCAAACAAATGAGGATGTTGGAAACCTGTATGCCAGCAGAGAATTGGTGATGGACCTCATTTACAACCTAAAAGCGTGAATACAAACAACAGATCAGATAAAAAAGGCTCAAATGTCAATCAGCACTATCAAAACTGACATTACTTTGCCCCTCAAGCCTAACTACTGAAGAGATGAGAATTATAAGAACCTACATTTCATCTTAATAATATTTTCACTCGTCCTATTTTGAGACCAATTTATGCAAAGCTGAAGAACCATAAGAACCCGGATTCCCCTCTTCAAGTGGTTTTACAAATTAAACCAGAGAATATATAGCTAAGACTTCGTGGACACACTGGAATATGTTTGAGCCCCTGCAAAGATGGAAAACATACCTCGGGTGGATGGGCATGTCCACTGTAACTCATTGAAACAATCCATTCATGATCTCCTGTGAATGCAGCCCGGCCAATTATTCTGAAGCAAGAGAAAAGGAATTGCATTTCATGCAATAGGCTACTCAAAATTAAAAAGGGCAAACAGAAAGGAAGAAAAAAAGAGTTGTGTACCCTTCACCAACAACACTAATTTGAGCTTTGGTCATCATTCTTTCGATGAGCATTTGAACTCTATCTTTAGCTTCCCAACCTCCAGTTGGCGCTTCAGAAGGATCAGATCCAGAAACTTGGGGAGGAAGAGAAAATGTCATGGGCTCGTAGTAACATTCTTCCCAAATCAACAGCCTGCCATGGCAACATTATGTATTTCATCATGGATGACAACAAAGAGCTCCAAAACTTAAGGCTACAACTAGAGACCACCGCCTTTTGCTAAAAGAGGCAAACATCGAGTTCTGTGCAAAGTGGAGAGCAGCGTGGGGAAGGTTCGGCTGAAGGGATTATAGACCGTTCATATGTCAACAAGGATTGGAAAAGGAAAGGACAATCGACTCGAACTTCGCTTCATTTCTCTTAGCAGCAGCAGAGACGAAGGAAGAAGCCAAATATCACGTTAAGGTTGCTCTCCAGGTACAGCAAGTCGTAAGAAGGTAGATAAGTTTGAGCTAACATTGAAAATCCGACATGGATTGGCAAGATATGTATCTGGGCAGAGGGAAGGGACAGTACAAGAGTCATCCAGTGAGAAACATTTAGAGACTCGAATAACCAAAAGTAGTTCTTGCCAAACATCACAAGCTGCCATTTTTCTAATGCTTTTCAACGCCGTTCTCGCTTCTTTGAGTTAATTCATCTCTAACCGAATGCGAGCAGGGGAACTGCGTTGCCGAGCAGAGGGCGGAGAGACTAGTTTGGCCAGGGCCGCAAAGAAGAAATGAACTGAAATAATCAACATAGCAAGAAGAACATCAAAACAATACAAAACAAACATCAATGGCGAACAAACAAGGCTCTGGACAAAACTCACCGAAGAAAAACCACATGTCGCACAAAAGAGCCTACTTCAGCTAAGAACACAAAAAGGGCAACATTTCAAAGTCTATGAGGATTTCTTCTTAAACAAGCAGAAAACCATTCCACCTAGTTATCGCATTAATTACGGTAACAGGTTTTCGAGTGGTGTTTGGCTTTTCCTCTGCTTTCTCACAAGACAAACAAGAGAAGGAACAGGAGAATTTCCATAACAACGAACTCACTTGGGATTTTGGCGGCCGATCTTCCAAAACACGGCGTACGACCACTGATTCACACCGCACAGGGTCTTCAGAGCCTCTTTCAGCAGGTAGCCCATGGCCTCGAGCCCCCCCAAAAACACGAAAAACCTCCCAAACTGGAGAAACTCGCAATAACACAAACTCGACAAATCCACAAACCATGCACCGGCAATTAGGGCAAAAGAGGAAGGGGGAAAAAACACGAACGAACTATCCGCGCTGGCCACTGCGCATTTCCGCGAAGGGGGGGACACGCAGCTCGCTGCAGGGCCTAACTCCCGCGACACGATCCTCTTCCGGCCTGCTTCGTCCTCAATCCGCCGCTACTCTTCCGCTCGGGATCCAGGTTCACGGCGGTCGGTCCCCGGAAAGCCATAAGCCGCGCCGGCGAAGCTCTCGGAGGGGGAGAAAGAAACTGGCGAGCGAGAGAGAGAGAGAGACAGACAGAGAGAGAGAGCGCCGACAACTCGAGGGAGAGAGGCGCTCGGGTCGAAGGGCTCTACACGAAGCCGAAGGCTTGGAAGCCGCACACGTCCTCGATCGGCACCATTTCCGGCCCCCTCCCGAGAGAACGACGGAGCTCGAGCGCAGAGAGAGATGCGCGCGCGGGAATGCCCGGCGAGCAGAGGGCGAGGTCAGGGAGCGCGGCGTGCAAAGAGAAGAGCACGAGACGGCGGCGGCGGCGGCGACGGCGGCGAAGAAGATGAACACAAAGGCAAGCTTGGCTATACTTCACTCTCTCGCAATCACTGCGTCTGTGTGTGTGTGTGTTCGGGAGTGTGAAGTGTTCCCCGTGCTAAAGTGCGCCATATTTAACGAGGGAGCGAGGGAGGTGGGGGCCCGGGGGGGGACGAAAAGACGAAAGAGCCCCGAGCTTTGGGGTGGAAATTGCGGGGGGTGCCACTGGCCGGCCACTGGTTCGAGTGTGAAAGTGAAAGCTGTGTGTGGGCGCCCTCCTAATTCCCCTTCTTTTTTTTTTTCGAATTTTTCGTTTTCTTTTTTGTTTTTGAATTTTTTCGTTGATCCGCCCGTTTTGTCGGTTGCGGATCGGGTCGTTCGGGTGCGGGCGAGGTGTGCGAGCGGCGTTGGTCCGTCCGCCGCTGATGATGATGACGACTTCGATAGTGTTGTGGGTTGGTGGTGCTGCCGTCGTTGACGACGAGCCATTGATGATTGGCCTCTCCTTTTCCGGGGGTATTCACCGCGGTGCCACGCGCAGTTCAAATGCTACGGCTCAGACACTTTAATTTTTTGTTTATTCTCTTAAAATGTAATCAAGACTCTTATTCCTCAGAAGAAGGGGGTCACAGTTGACTCGTTAAGATTGGCTCTTTACCCGTCTGTTAAGTGTATTTAGTCTCTCTCTCTCTCATTGTCCCTCTAGTGGCCTGTTGCTTTTCTTAATAATGCCACCGCACTAAGATCAATAGCTCCTTGGCGCATACAAAAGATGGCTCTTTGATCCCGTGAAAAAACAGGGGAAAATGACATGGATGGTTCGTGAACTTTGGTCCGATGTGTGACGTCGTTCCGGGAACTTTTCCTGAACTTTTAAACATCTTCATACATTCTGAAAGCATCATTGAATATTTACCAATAATTCAAATACCACATTAAACAAATTAAAAGCTTGGGAAGGATATTGTACATCGAACAGAGTTCAAGGACCGATATTGCACAAATGAAAAATTCAAATACGACATCGTACGTTAGGCCCAAAGTTTAGGAATCATATTTTTGTACCTATAGTAATGCTTGTTGGCCACATGAAGGGACTTTTGATGTGTGTCTGTAAATATATAGTTTTTGTATCCTCGAACAGCTTGAACCCGCAAAAGAGACCACGGGAAAGGAACATCAAACGATCAATTGATAAATTGTTGCCCCATCTGAAAGGGCAAAAAACGAAGCCTAGACTTTGCTACAACATAAAGGGAAAGGCCATAGAATTTATTTTTTTTGTGTGTTTTTTTTCGTCATTTTATTTTATTTTGTTTTCCTCTATTATATTTTATTTTTAAACGAGCAAAGGATAAACATTCTTTTAGCAACCCCCTTTCAATACCGGAGCAGCCAAATATTATATACGCTCCCTTGAGCTCGAAGGCATGTCGCGCTTGGCATTTCGGTGATTTCAATAATCAAAGTGTATTAAGATAAGACTAATCTCCCTTGAGCAGGCATCTATCATCGCCCAATAAGATCACGCCACGTCACCAGCTTAGTACGACCAATTTGATAAAACAGTCTTGAGTCTTAATATATCTCGCATCGTCCTATCAATGTGTGAACAAAAGCAAAATTTCAGGACACATGCTTCTAAGTTAGAGCATAGGGTAGGGGGAAGTATCTATAGGGAGGGGTAGCTCCCTAAAGACTTACCATATTTTCAATGCACACGGGAGTGGCAATCTATCCTTTTTTGTCCTTCTTCACACGGAACAAATGTATATAAGAAACGAAAATAGTCACAAAAAGTCACAAATTATGTCCACCGTATAAATTTACCTTGAATTTTTTTTGCGACATCAAAATCAAATTATGCCCGCTGTGACATATTTACCCTAAAAAAATTTTTGTGATTTAAAAAACCCCAAATTTGTATCCATGTGGCACGATTACCGTCCGTCAAGATATCATTTACTTATAGTGTCAATGTAGGCAAGTTTTTAACGATTTGCATCGACAGAACTTTGACGGATGGTAAATAAGTCAAGCAAGTATAAGTTTGGGATTTTCGACATAACATAAATAGAAATGTTCAAGATAAATATATTATCATTAGCATAATTTATGATTTTTTGTGGCTTTTTACTCTATATGAAAATATTTTTGTTGGATAATATTAGAATATCTAACTCTGGAGACAACGATTCAGTTCAGACTGTCCACCAACACTTTTTTTGCTGTTTTGGTAAGTTGTTCCTCGAATTCTTTATCTGCGTACATGGTTTCATTCTCTTCTTGTGCTTTATCGTGTTGGCTCATATTCCAGATACTGTTCATTCCTCGTCTCTGTATTACTAGATAATGTATTCTATAGGTTCCAAAATTCTCTTAGGGGGTTCAGATCCTATGATTCCATACAATGCGTCTTTACTTAAATATATATAAATAAGCCACCCAATTCAATTTCTTCTCTAATCATTAGTTCTATTTTTGGTAGCTGGAAAATTTATAAATTAAGAAATTCGTTATTAATGTAGTCTGATGAGCGTCTGCCACTCCAGCAACATTAGAATTAAAATAAAAAATAAAAAAAACAAAGGGGGCACATGAAAAGATGAAACCCTAGTTGGAGGCACATGAGACCGTTCCTTTCAATGTTTCTTTACTTTATCTTATATGTCTTTATTCATTTATTTGTTTATTTTGGGTTTGTGGGGAAGCGGGCGAAGATTCCTCCACAGAGGAGTGTGAACTCGAAGTTTGATGTATAATATTCGTTTTGCTGACACAGTTTCTCAGCGCTCGATGGACGTAATTATGGAACAGAGTTGGAGTCGCAACGCATTCCGGTATCAAACGACGCTCCCATCAAATATTTGTTTTTCATGATAAATTACAGCTAACATTGTTGGGTCACTTGGCAAGGGGACATTACCAAAAGCAGACTTAAACATATTGCGCATTGTACAAATTCAGTCCTAAACCTTTTCAATTTGATCAATTTAGTCAAAATCATGTGACAATTTACTAATTTAGTCATTTCGATCAACTTTAGCTGGAAATTACTGATATCGACGTCGACCGTCTTATGTGTCACGGCCGGGGTTGATTTTAGTGGTGACCGGTTTCGGGGTGGGTCGGCCCCCACCTAGGAAATGACCTTGTTTACTGGGGAACCAGTTCGGTTCCCAAGTTGGACCGGGACCAACTATAGAATTTTTTTCTTTTTGATTTTTTCAATACTAATATTTGCAAATCATTAATGGGCAAATACAGGTTTCCACAACAAGAACATTGACCAAGCCTCTTGTTCATACCGTTCCTCAGGGTAAACCCCGATCTTCAAGATAGGGCCTTGTCGAAGACAAATTCAGTGAAGGAAAGGGTTAATTATTTGGCCGAAAGTTTTTACTTTTCAGGGCTAAGGCACAAGGGATTTATCCTCTCGAAGCATGAGCTCGCAAGGAGCTTTGAACCCTTTGGGGTAGGGGTGAGCACGGTTCCAGATTCTACCCTGGAACCTGGGAACTTAACCAATGGGAACCTATAGGTTCTAAATTCTAAGGCATGTAGGGTAAATTCTAGGTTCCAAAAATTGAACAACCTGTTTCGACGGATAGGTTCCAAGTTCTATTTAGGTGGAACCTGAACCTATCTTCTTGTGATTTTGCTGTGTTCCATGGAATTAGTTGATGAGTGCGTGATCTGTAATCACTAGTTTGAGCTTTCATTTTATGACTTGTTAATGTTTCATATTTTCCGTGTGTCTAAATATAAGTTGTGGTTAGTGGATCATAACAATAAGTGGTAGCTATTAAATACGATGATTCACTGTAATTATTCAATTAATAATACAGGTGGAACCTAAGTAGACTCTAGAACTGACCCTCGAACTTGTGATAGGGTAGGTTCCAAGTTTCAAAAAATGAGAAACCTATTATCATGGGTGGAACCTATACAGAACATAGAACTGCTTATCCCTAATATTGATTCACGCAATGACTTCTCATTTTAGTTATATTTATTTGAACCATAATGTTAGAAAAACTAGTTTTTTGTATTCTTTTTGATAAATGACAAGCTTGTTCAAAATTGTTATGTTCATTTTTGTTTTGTTTAACTAAAAATGCAATAAAAAAAAGAACGTATTAGATCCCGGAACCTATCCTGAAACCTGTGACAGGGTAGGTTCCAGGTTCCGACGGATAGGTTCTGAGTTCAAAAAAATGGAGAACCTGTACCCGAGAGTAGGTTTCAGGTTCCATATGGAATCTGTAAAGAACCCGGAACCGCTCACCCCTTTGGAGAGTCATGCTCATAGGTTGCTCTAGACTCTTGAGGAGTCAAGCTTTGGTAAGGGCTAAGGGCTCGTGGAGAGATGTGGACTTAGCAGGTTGTACTCGCTGGTTGCTAAGGGCTCCCGGAGAGCTCTCTGGACTCTTTGGGAGTCACGGTGCTAGATGGAAGAAGAAAAAATTTCAAAAAAAAAGGGGAAATTAAGGCATAACAGTCCAGCTCGATCAGTTGGGTTTCTTGTGCGGAGCTGGGAACCAAACCGATTATTGCCTAATATTAATTCTAGGAACTGGGAATCACCTAGAACCAGCCCGTCCAATTCGGTCCGGTTTTCAAATTGGACTGGGACTATGCTCACTCCCAACTGATGTGGACACATTTTGCAAATTTTTATATTTTTCTTTTCTCATATTTTTTTTCCTTCTTCCTTCGTCGGTCATTGGGCCTCAGAGATGGCTGGCGAGGGTCAACCTCCCCGAGCTCGCTCGGGACGGCTCGGGCTCGCCCAAAGCTTGCAAGGCCGACGAAATTGACTCTCACCTGGTCCAACAAGGGTGACCCTCACCCGAGGTTAGCGAGGGCCCTTGGAAAAAGAATATGAATAAAGAAAAGAAAAATAAAATAAAATTTTAAATTTTAAAAATTATAAAATTATTCAAGTCAACGCCAGACTTGCCACGTAAGACGGTTGCGTCTAAGTCAGCAATTTTCAGTTAAAAATTGACAAAAAAACTAAGTTGGTAAGTCGCTAAAATGTTTAGAATTAAATTGACTAAATTAAAAAATTTAATACCGAATCGCCGTAATTGCAATAGGAAAA